ATAGCCTTTAATATTACTTAAAATACATATATAATAGCAATGAGGCAATAATAATTAGTTCAAATAAAGTATCAAAAGCAAGAAATCATATAATTTTATTATTATATATTTAACAAAACTGTTAAAGTACATAATGTTTTATAAATAATAGAGCTAATGTACATTACGCATTACAACAAAGGCCTGCAGAGGGTGCCAACGGCATAATGATTATTTTTACACATTGCTGTGGGATCTAATACTTGTTTAATATTTACCAAGCACCATTTAATTCAAATGTCCAATAAATGTTTAATATTTGGCCATTTCTTTAGGACAGAAATGCTATAGCCACTGTAATTAAATGAATATGTGGACATCAAAACCAAGCGGCAAGTGTAAACCAAGCGGCAACCTCCCGTTCTCTCTCGTGAAGCCAACAAGGAAGTGACTAAGGGTGCTTTCACACCTGTAGATCGATTGTTTTGTTTCCGAAATGGATTAAAATGATTACAATGTTGCTTTTTATTCTTGGTGCGGTTCGCGTTCACATGGCAAAGTTTCAAAACGGACCAAATTTGTAAAGTCACGCGTGAGTGAACTGTTCTCTCATTGGTCAAAGTTTCACAGTTTATTTTCCGGGATTCCACTTAGCTGTCACGCATGTCATCCGTCAGGATGGAATGATAACAGCTTCGCGGGCTTATTGTTGTTGTTTTTTTTGTAGCTGTCATTATAATAATTTATCATTTTGAGCAGGAGTCCAGGATTGATTGGGAAAACATTTTTAAAATGCACCTACAAAGAAGAGCAATAAGACCGCATTATAAAATAAAGTGTGCTTTGATTTTTGAATGGCAAATACGTGCTCACCCACAGACATTCACATGGTTCATTTTGAGGTATTAGCAAAACAACAAAGCTGATGCTTTTCACGGAACTTACGTAATTACCCACTTCGGAAATCTACGGGTGACGTCACGGACACTACGTCCATGTTTTTATACAGTCTATGGTGTAAACTCAGAGTGAGTGTTTGAGCTTTTATTTTGAAACCGCGGTGTTCTCCTGTGTTTGCGTGGATTTATAAATTATTTACCTTACAAATCTGAAGAAATGGCGCACATTGCGTTCCAAGATGAATGTTATAATAAACCCAAACTCACAACAACATGCAGAGATGGAGTTTGAGACGCTCCACACATGTAAATGATAACAGTTCCTGTGGAGCAGCATTTACTGTGAACGGAGCCGCTGTGAGACGCACGTACTTAACCTACACGCCTATAACTGCATCGCATATAATTATTTAATTAAATCGTAGCGTTTGTGAATTCACAATTATGCTTAATTATGATTTTTAAATGGGTTTAATATACCATGCAGCCTTGGGAAACAGTCTAAATGTGTTTTATGGATTCTCGTCCGTGAAATGCGCCACTTCCGGTATTTTGCCGGTTAGTCCACGCAAGCAAAATGAAGTCGAGGCTTTTTAAAAATTGAATAGTCGAATAAAATCGACGAATCGCGACTGCCCTATATAATATATATACACTGCTGTTCAAAAGTTTGACGTAAGAATTTATAAGTCTCTTGTGCTCACAAAGGCTGTATTTATTTAATTAAAAGCACAGTAAAACAGTAATATTCTGAAATATTACTACAAATTAATATAATTGTTTTTTTTATTGCAATATATATTAAAATGTAATTTATTCCTGTGATGTCAAATCTGAATTTTCAGCAGCATTACTCCAGTCTTTAGTGTCACATGATCCTTCAGAAATCATTCTAATATGCTGATTTTCTGCTCGACACATTTCTTATTATTTATTAATGTTGAAAGCAGTTGTGCTGCTTCATATTTTTCTAGAAACTGCAATAATTTTTTTTGAGTGTTGTGGGATGAATAGAAAGTTTATTTGAAATAGAAATCCAAATTCAATTGATCCTTGCTGAATAAAACTATTAATTGCTTTAAAAAATGACTGACCCAAATTTTTTGAGCAGTTGCTTAAATATAAATATATATGGCAAGGCAAGTTTATTTATATAGCACATTTCATACACAATGATTAATAAATGAGTAATCATAAAAAAGGAAAAATCATGAAAAGAAAATGAAAATAATTATAATAAATGAATATATGTAATATAAATAAAATTTAAAATATTCACAAATTAATTTAGCTTTACAAAATATATAATATCCATTGACTAGGCTGTCATCAGACTTTGGAACTGAAACAAGGCGCCACAAAAATGTTAGTTGGCCAAACGTTACGGTTATCAGCCAGAGTGATAATCTTAAAACCGCAATCCGCATCTGGCTTCGCTACCGTTCGGACGTTCTTGCTTACTGCTCTGCGCTTTGCTCCCTATTTCTGTACTTTTCTTTGATTTTTCTAAGATTTTTACTTCAGCAGATCAGCACAGTGCTCAATCAACATATTTTTGGCACAAACACTAAAACAAAAAACTCTCTGGGACTGGAATAATACCACGAAAAAGAAGATTTTTGTCTCCCACTGCCAGCAGCTTACATTCCGGAGAAGGGAAAACACAGCTGCCCACATTCAAACAGAAGAGAAAGAAAATGCCTCCTGTTGAATCTACTTGCTGCATGAACTACTGCAAACTTCTACAAAGGATTGCGGTTCTTGAAACAAAGTTACTTGCTGGACTTCCAAAACAGGCAGAACACTCAGCAGACCGTCGTCACGGACCCCCTCAGTCCAGAAGAGATCAGATGTGCTAAAGCATTAGCCACATTTAAATGCGGACTCAAAACTCATCTATTTAGCTGTGCATTTATTGGATGAGCACTGTGCGATGTCCGAACTGACTGCACTATATTTTATGTATAATCGTTTTCTTAAATTCATTTTAAACCTCTTAAATCAATTTTTTTAATCATTTTCAAAGTTTTTAAATTCCTTGTTTTATTGTTGTGATTATTTTTTTCTTTTCTTTTATGTAAAGCACTTTGAATTACCATTGTGTATGAAATGTGCTATATAAATAAACTTGCCTTGCCTTGCCTAAAACAGACAGATATTGGCTGATTAATCAACCTGAACTATTACATAAGTTGTGTGTGTGTGTTTTGGCCGGGCAATAGGAAAGTTGAAAGTGTGACTTTATCCAACCAGTGTTAATTTAGTATCATTGACATGCTATTATAGTTTTTATTAATATTTTGAATCAGTTTTTATTTTTAGATTTTCTGTTTTCAATGTAATTTTAAAGTTTTAGTAATGTCATTTTTACTAGTTTTTATATTTAATTTTTTTTATAAATGTTATAATAGTTTTTATTATTCTTTATTTCAGTTTTAGTATCATCTATTTTAGGACATCAGGTTAAACTAATTGAAAATGAGAAATGTTGCCTTGACCACTAGCTGTATGTATGTTCAGTTAACATTTACTGTATTTCAAGTAACAAAAAATGTTTTGGTTTTTGTTATGGTTTAAATTGTAGTTTTAGTTAACTATAATAACCCTGTATCCAATAAAATCTTTGCGTTTATACATTTATTATTAGTATTTATTTTATTTTATTTGACAAAAAAAACAAAACAATATTGTTTGTTGAAAATATAAACATAGTTGTGGCATATTAAAAATCATAACTAAAAAAAATAGATTTTTATGACTGCAATATACTCAAAAGTAATAATAAATATCTGGAAGCCGCAAATGTGCATTATCCATTGACAAAGCTGTTGGTAGATATGGTTGGTAGGTATGAAGCTGACAGAAGTGTTGACACAAGTAGGCCTGTCACGATAACATCTTTTTGTTGTGCGATATGTTGCCCCAGAAATAATTGCGATAAGCGATATTATTGTCATTTTAAAGACCATTTTATGCCACTGAATATATAATCATAATGTAACAGCATAATAATGCAAGAAGGCCTACACACTTCCAAATGACAACAAACTTTTAATTTTTAAGAATATTTAGATCATGGATATTAAGTATCAAAATATTAGATGCCTACAAAAACCTGAATAACCTGAAAAAAAACAAAAAGTGCGAAGTAACAAGTAGAAAAAAGAAAAACGCACAAAGATTTTTCCATCTACAGATTTTTCCCGGACCTTCTTTACTCTGTAATTTAAGGGTGCACACTATTGCTGAAAAACACAATCACTACTTAACAGTCAGATGTCCGTCAGATCCCTAAACAAGACCATATCTGCAGTTAAAGCGTTTTTTACATTTGAACGAGCACCTCATGACTACAAAACGTTATGTACGAGAAGCTGCAAAAGAGACAGGCGCAAGTGGAATGTAAAAAAAAACATGGTGACATTAATTTTTAAGTAAATATAATGGGCGATATATTGCGTCACCAAAAATTATTGAGGTCATGTACATATATTGCGCGATAAATCGATATATTGATTATTGCGACAGGCCTAGACACAAGCCGCTATTAATTATTATTATTATTACTACAACAGTTTTGTTTTAAAGCAGATTAACTTAATTCTGTTCTGTACTTTCAGTAAAGCTGTACTTTCATGTAAGCATGAATAAAGTCTGATGAAATTATTTAAATTATCTCAATTTCAGTTAAAGTTTCAGAATTTTGACTTGATGAATATAAAAGGAGTATTTTTTTTTAAATATTATATCATGCTGTTATTGTTATGGAAGTGCATTCATTCGTAAACAGACCAAAATTGAAGTTGTATGGACTTATTTTAACACACCTAGTAGACTAATAGAATTTGTTGCAGAATATTCTTCAGAAAGTCACCGTTTGTGTTCCATGGAAGAAAACATGATGAATTGTATTTTAATCATTTAATCAATTTCTGCTTCTTTCGATTTATTAAGCATAATCATCTGCGATATTCTCCCACTGGTTATTTATCCTGAAAACGTTTCATCATAATTAGCCATTCGCTTTATCTTGCATTAGAAACAAACGTTTATTGCTTTGTTGCCTATTCTGTGGTTTTTGTACGCATTTTTTGTTTTTATTCATTGTCATTTGATTGGCAGGCATTGTTTATGCTCTTCATCCTGGCCTACATCCACATTGCCTTCTCACGCTCTCCAATCAACTGCCTGGAGCACGTGCGGGAGAAATGGCCCCGTGATGGCATCCTGCGTGTGGAGATCCAGCGCAACTCCAGCCGCGCGCCCATCTTTCTGCAGTTCTACGAGACAGAGGGAATCCAGGGCCTCGTGAAAGAACCAGAGGAAGACGGAAGTGAAACCAGACAGCCAATGGCGCCCACAGACGCTGAAGAGGAGGAAGAGATGACCATGGAGATGTTTGACAACAGCACAGTACGGGTGAGTTTATTACACAGGAACAGGAAAACTAGGATGGGGAGCCAGGCATAATTCATATAAAAATTGCTAATTGTTATTTATGTACTCATTCTCATATTGTCCCAAAAACATAGGCTGTTAACACGTCAAATCAATATTCATTTCTAATATGTGTTAATATATTGTTAATATAAGTTATTATTTCACTATTATTATTATTATTATTATATAATTTTTTAAATATAATATTAACTAACAAATACAGTCTGGCCCTCACACAAGTTCTTTGAATTTATGGTGCTTTTTTAATGTTCTTGTAAACTTCACAGATCTCTATGAACTGCCTTTGTATAGAAAAGAGATGCATAAATGTTCTTGAAAAATATTTGTTTGTGTGTGCTCCTTTCAGCTCTTTTCTATACAATTATATAGAATTAATGTGAAAATAGTGGAATAGTATGCAGCTGCCCAACAGTAAATCAATATTAATTTCTAATATTTGTTAATTTAAATAGTTGTATTTGTATTAATTTATGCAATATAATGTACTGTTACTATTACTACTTATAATAAGTCACTTATTATTAATGTTATTAATACTATTGTTAACTTTGCTATAGAATGAATTAATATATCAATGTATAAGAATATACAATGAATAATATGAAAAGATCAGAAGAGTATGCAGTTGCCTAAGAGTAAATCAATATGAATTTCTAATTTAATTCAATATTTGTTAATTGAAATATTGTAATTGTATTAGTTCTAATAATATAGTATTGTATTCTAACTGCTATTACTACTGCTACAACTAAGTTTCTTATTAATATTATCATTATTAACAAAGTATAATATTATATGAATATATTTTTAGAATTTAAATATAGAATTTATTATATAATTAAATTTCAGTCTGGTCCTCATAGAAGTTGTATGAGGCTTATGGAACATTTTAAAATGTTTTTTTTTTTTTGTGGGTGCTACTAGTAAAAACAATTGCATACATTTATCGAATGTCCTCGTGGTCAATAAATAATGATAGAATATTATTTTATTGTGAATTATTCCACTGAAATGGCCTCTGTTCTCCAGATCGTTCTGACAGACTGTGCCCTTTGTCTCTCTCTCTCACAAATGCAGTTTGAGCTAGACATCGAGCCACGTCTGAATCCGTCGCTGAGTGGCCGTGTTCCTGGCTCCAGCCTGAATGAATCCCAGGATCTGTCCTTCAGCCAGGCCCCCTCTAAAGGTATGCAGCCGCTGAGGGAGACTGTCTCCGAGATCGAGATGCTAACTCGAGCAGGTAAACATCTCAAATAGCCATTTGGTGCATTCCTCTTCCTTCTCTTCCTCCTTTGTGAATTCATTCCCTGTCCTCCCTCCATCCAGTGCAGCCCTTCTCACTTCCCCTGGTCAGATTTCCTTTCTGTTCCCACATTCTTTTATAACCTTGCCCTTCCCAGAGGCCATGTGAGCTGTGTCAAAAGGCTTCCGAAACAATCACAGTGGCCTGTTGTAAGATAAGATGTCTGAGTGTCCCAGATACTGTAATTTCTTACAGTTTAGATACAAATTCACAGTTTCCAAACTTCACATCTGGATTCAAATAAGTTATTTAAAATGTGTAAGATGAACAGGGTGTTATTCGCAGGACGGTTTCAGGGTGTCAGTCCCCCAAATTAAAGCTTGAAACCCCAAAATGAGAACATAAACATTACTGTAAATGTTTCTGTAAACACACACACACACACACACAAATCAATGACAGCATAGTCACAGTGTATTTTTTTTAATACAGAGAAACTTTATAGAACAATTAGTGTGAAATGAAAGCTTTCTAGATTAGTAGAATTTCTAAATTCAATGAAACATTGTCAGCATTTGTCAGTGTTTGTGTTTGTTTGTGTAGTGTGGCCACAAGAAGAGTATATTGTCGAATATTCTTTGGAATATGGATTCCTGCGGCTGTCCCAGGCCACACGGCAGCGACTCAACATCCCTGTTATGGTGGTGACCCTGGGTGAGTACATCACACCCTGCAGGCCATCAACAGAAAACCTGACCAAAATCCAAAAAAGAATAGAATATTCCATTTTTGCACTATTATATTCTAATATTCTTGAGAATATTCAAAAATTAAAATTGTTATTGTTTACTGATCTTCTTGTTGTTCCAGTCACTTATAACTTTGCTTTTGTGTGATAAATATAATACATCATTCATTCATTCATAAACAGACCAACATTGAAGTTGTATGGACTTATTTTAACACCCCTAGTAGACTAATAGAATTTGTTGCAGAATATTCTTCAGAAAGTCACCGTTTGTGTTCCATGGAAGAAAACATGATGAATCGTATTTTAATCATTGAATCAATTTCTGCTTCTTTTGATTTATAAAGCATAATCATCTGCGATATTCTCCCACTGGTTATTTATCCTGAAAACGTTTAATCATAATTAGCCATTCGCTTTATCTTGCATTAGAAACAAGCTTCCACAAGCTTTCATGGTTGTGGTTGCCAGATGTCAAATGTTTGAATCCGTCAACCAGAGTTTTTCTCTTAAATTAATACATTTCTGTCCAGTGGTTTACTTAATTGTCCCAACCTGGCAACCATGCGCATGCGATCTCTCTACGTTACAGAAAAAAAGTGATTATGAACTTAAAACATCAGCAAACATGTAATTTAGAGTTTAGTGATCTCTATTGAGACATTCTGTTCAAATAAAAGTGTAATACAGCCAGTCTGTTTTCTTTCACACAGTCATTTGCTGCCACTAAATCTGCAAGCAAATCATACGAGTTGACGATTTATTGATTTGTTCTTATGTGAAAGTGCAGTAATTCTGATATAATGTAAAAATAATAATAATAAATTAATTGAAAATTATTGTGCAGTTCTATAAGAAAGTCATAAAGGTTTGAATGACATGAGAGTGAGTTAAATATATATATTTTTTATTAACTCTTCCTCAAAAAGAAGACTTCATATCTTTTTTTTAAAAGGGAAAGCATAAAGTTGTAGTTCATCTCTCTCGGCCTGTGTTCAGACCCCATGAAGGATCAGTGCTTTGGAGATGGTTTCAGTCGCTTCCTCCTGGATGAATGCCTGGGCTATGACGATATCCTGATGTCCAGTGTGAAGGCTTTAGCAGAGAATGAGGAAAACAAAGGTAAATTCTCTTAAGAATGTTTTTTTTCTTGATGATGCTGTAACTATGAAGTGAGTGTGATTTGTTTGTTTTTAGGGTTTCTGAGGAACGTGGTCTCTGGAGAACACTACCGTTTTGTCAGTATGTGGATGGCTCGTACCTCCTACCTGGCAGCCTTTGTAATCATGGTTATCTTTGTGAGTTCAGTTTGAGCATTTTGGTAATCAGTTCACCCAGTAATGAAAACTGATCATTTACTCATTCCAATGACTTTATTTCATAAATGGAACACAAGGTGAACATTTTACAGTGTTCTAATCTCATTTCCACCCAATTACAATGAGTGGTGACTAGAGCTTTCAAACTGAAAATGGAAAAATGGTTTAAAATCACTTTAAATTATTCTAAACACAGCCTATGCACTATATTCTGAATACTCTTGAGGTCATATGATAGCTTTGGGTGATAAACAGACTGATATTGAAGCCATCACTTAATAATCTGCCCCATTAGCAAGGTGTTAACAGCTGTACCAAATCATTGAGTCAATCAGTTACATTTTGGAAAAAAACAAAAATCAGATTTTGTAAACACATCATTCAGATTTGGTGAGCTGAATGAACGAATTCTCTGAAAAGATCTGACTCAATAGAATGATTCATTCACTTGCAGTAAATAATGACTTCATCTTTGGTCTGTTTGCTTCTTTTTATTGCTTTTTTATCATTCAGTTAAATTATATTAAAAAAGTGACCAGAATATTCTTCAGAAATTGACCTATTGGGTTTCATTAAAGAAAGAAAGTCATACAAGTGAGCAAATGATGACAGAACTATAATTTTTGGGTGAACTGTTCCTTGCTGAATCACATGGAAATTCTTCATATTTTCTCTCTCAGACTCTGTCAGTGTCCATGCTGCTGCGGTACTCGCACCACCAGATTTTCGTCTTTATAGGTAAGTTCCCATCAGCCTCTTGGGTCTTCAACACTGAATAACCGATGTGATGATGTTCCACGATCAAGTCTATAACATTAAAAAGCCATTATTTTTAACCAGACTTATCTCTCTGATGTTCGCTTTTTTTTTCTCAGTGGACCTTCTCCAGATGTTGGAGATGAATATGACCATTGCCTTCCCTGCTGCCCCTCTCCTCACTGTCATCCTGGCTCTTGTAGGTAGGTAGAGCTCACTGCTGGGAGTTTTAAAGAGATGTTCTCATGTCTTTATTAGTCTCCTATCAACTTGATGCCTGATCTTTTATTTTGTTGACTTCAGATATTACATGAAAATTTGTTAAGAAGTTCTATGAAAGTCGTTTGATACCAAATACTCTATTTTGATCCTGTCTGCAGGGATGGAGGCCATCATGTCTGAGTTTTTCAATGACACAACCACTGCCTTCTACATAATCCTCATTGTTTGGTTGGCGGACCAATACGATGCCATCTGCTGCCACACCAATACAAGCAAGCGCCACTGGCTCAGGTATGTAATCACATCGGCACAGGTAAATGCCAGTGGTTCAGGTGTCTTACCAGATTCCTCTACTGCTGTTTTACATTCACTTCACGTTTGCATTTATGCATTTGACAGCCGCTTTTGTCCAAAGCGACTTCATTCAAGGTATACGTGTTATCATTTCATGCATTCCCTGGTAAATCAAACCTTGGCCTATGCATTGCTAGTGCCATGCTCTACAGTTTGAGCTACAGGAAAGCTGCAGAACAAAAGTTTAACAGTTTGTTCTGAATGTATCTAATCACGATCTCACATTTTAGCTTGAATAGTTTCACACAGACTAGAATCATTGTTTCGATAACTATGATATTATGATATCTTGAAATTAATCTGCCTTTCCAATATATCTCCAACATTTGCATATAGTTGTCACAATTTTGCCCCCTAGAGGAATTCACACAGAACTTTCAAAACTGGTCATGAAGCAGCCATTCATTCATGACTGTATAATTCATATTCACTGTGGTTGTATGAATTAATAATAAATGTGTAAATATATCCAAACTAAACAAAATGACAGCCAGTATGTCTGAAACAAAAACATAGTACGTTTTCTAGGGCTAATCAACGTGATGATTGTCATCTATAAAATAATTAATTCGAACATTTATTTTAACTGCCCATTTTCAGAAATGGTGTTTAGAGAGTAATTTTAGTAGAAAAATATTGGTAATTCTTTCTTTACTTGGTCTCATAGTTTTTGTTAGGATACATCACATTTGGTCAGGTTGGTCGCATTTGTTTTAGCTGCAGATGTTCAAATATTAATTGTATCACAAGCTCAATGGTTTAATTCTGTTCTTTGTCATTTCTTGGAAATGCTGGCTTAGGTTGACTCTATTCAGATCAGCCTATTAAAACATGAAAATGAAACTGAAGTATAGTGTATATATTATCTCTGTTTCAAAACCTAGTGTGCTGCCTACCTAGACAGCATCATAGGTAAACGCCTTTTAGCAAAGCTAAAAAGTTAGCTTTTTTTGGTAAATTGTTTCTCAAAATGGTCTGAATGCATAATTGGCGAATCAATCTGAATTGTTTTTAAAAAAACATTTTCAGTAGTCATTGATCAAAAAGAATTGGAGCCAAATGCTTTTTTTTTGTAAAGCTTTGGGTACCATGTTGTTAGCATCTCATTAACGTCACTTTCTTTTGGAAACATTTTGGGGTACTCAGGAGCACTATTTGTATGGCGTACTGAAATTGCTTCCTGTTGAATCAGTCACTTATGAGGTTCCATGTCAATGTGAGCTCCCCATGTATGTAGAGAATGGACAGTAAGGCAGCTCACTAGGGTTGTTTTGGTGGTTAATGCCACGGTATCGATTATCGCATCTAAAAGATCTATTGTGCTGTTTTTCAGATTCTTTTATCTGTATCACTTTGCCTTCTATGCGTATCATTACCGCTTTAACGGCCAGTACAGCAGTTTGGCTTTGGTCACTTCCTGGCTCTTCATTCAGGTATCTTATTTCAGCTTTTTTCAGTGTAACCGGGGAATCTGTGGAGTTGCATAGAATTGTTTGTAGCTCATGAGCCTTTTCGTTTTTGTCTTGCGCAGCACTCAGTGATCTATTTTTTCCATCACTACGAGCTGCCGGCCATCCTGCAGCAGATCCGGATCCAGGAGATGCTGCTTCAGAACCAGCAGGTGGGTCAAGGAAACCAGACTGCATTGCAGGACAATCTCAACAACAACACTAGCAGCACGGCGCCTGCTGGCCAAGCTAATGCAGCCGCTAACGTGAACACTAACGGCCAGGACCGGCAAGCCGCTCAGGACCAACCTCAGCTCCAAACCCACAATGGCTTGGTGGTAAATACTGGTCTGTCCATCGACCCATCAAACTCTGACCTCGACTGGATGGCTGAGATCGCCATTGGCCCGGATATCCTGTCAGTTTCACACTTGAGCGACTCGCTTTTGGAGCCGGGAGGGATCCAGGAACCAACGTCGTCCAGCGCAGGGGTAACGGAGCTGCATGGTCCGAGCACAGCAGGAGAGAACCAAGTCGGAAACAGCGCGGCAAGTGTTCCTCCGGGACGGGGTTGTGCTCATGGTCTGGGTCCCCCTGGAGATGGAGGAGGGCAGACAGAATCTGAAACTTCCTCCCCAGTGACCTCACACACAGACTGCAGAGTTGCAGAAATGCTTAAAGGCACCACGGACTGGGAAGGCCAGACGGAGAACAAAAGCGAGAGTTCGGACTCCCACTCGGCCCCAGCTTGAGTCGCGCACCCCCATTCGGAACGAATGAATTCACGCTCTACAGTCGCCACCCCTCTCTGTAAATTAATCCAGAAGGCATCAAGAGGAGAAACCGTGATGGGGCTTTATGTAATTACATCCTGGAAACCTCCAACATGAACATGAGGAGGGCCGAAGCAGACTTCCGCTGTGTAGTCATGTTCTTAAGAGTAAATTCGTATTGAATTGTCAAATGATGCCATGTGTCAGGGTGTGATCATTGAAGTCTTTACATGTTTTTTTTTTTTTTTTTAATGGTTGAAACTTTTAATACAGGAAGTATTCAGTTTAAAATGTGATGTATCGCTCAATAATGGTACTTTTCGTTGCTCTTGAGTATGGAGTTGCAGGTATCAGCGGGCCGCACGGGCGGCAATCTTAAAATCTGAATACACGTACTTTGCACATCTTGTGCTAGGATTGTTTCGGCTTTCTTTCCATTCCTCTAATGATATAACAAGCAGTGAAAATTCATGTAGTCACGATAAATTGCTTTGGTCCCTACTAGTGTTGTCAAAAGACCCGGTATTTCGGTACCAAGTCGGTACTAAAAAAATTAAAACGTTACGGTACCAGGTTTTCTTAAGTACCGGTGGTACCGAGTACCCGGTCAACCCGGTTCTTGATGCGCTATCCGAAAGCTATCCTCTTCCAG